CTTTTGGGAGTAGTCAGCGTACTGCAATATGATAGTGATAGCAAGGTCAGCAGCACCAAGAGCGAAATTAGTACAGATGGAGTTAATAGTGTGTGCCCACATAGTCCAAAAGTTGTACGAAGTCTATGTCCACAGAATGCTAGACGTAGAGATAAGAAGCAGATCACCAATGTGGAGTATGTTGATGAGAAACTAGGCCGTTGAGGTTTTGTGCAGATTGCGGGTCAGGTGAATGAAGTTTGAGGAAAAAGCGGCAAAAATATTAAAAATAGTAGCATTTACCCGATCAAATACGTAAGCCAGTTCTTACGAGAGCAGTTATTTGCACAGAATTGGTAACTGTGGTATCGGTCAAACTGTCAATGTGCGTTAGAGGCGGTGACTTTGCTGCGTGGCGAGTCACAACCGCCACGTAGCGGTGTTGCTAAACAGAGATTTGTGGCCTTTTGTAGGGAAAACGCTTGCCAGACGCAGACTCACCACGCCCTGGAACACTGCAGCCTGGTGGTATGACGTTAAACAATCGCATCTGGCCGAGTACCCTGTCGGAAATTTGCAGTCAAGTTTCGCTGCTTTGTTTCCCATTTTTGTGCAATCTCCTTTGGAGTTGACCGCAAGTGGTTGGAGCTGTTGATGTCGGAGGACTCAGGTGACATATATTGAGTTGATTAGTTTTCTGGGATCCTTTAGTGTGTCAGGATTGCGAAAAGGGGATAGTTTCTTTATTGGGTTGATCCCTCGTCCAGGTGAGTGTCGCAGGTATGTCTTCAGAGGTGTTCAGCGTATGTAATGTTATCATTTAGAACAAGGGCGAGTAAAAAACTAGTGTGATATTACAAGGAAAGCACTCCACGGGCGAGGTGGACGAGGCCTAACGCCATAACATCACAATAAATTAGGATCCTTACAAGTAAATAAAGTGCCTTTCTGTGGTGCTGTGCAGGCTTTGAACCCAACTGTTCCAAACAGGAGCTGGTGTGAATGGGTAGGTACCCTGTATTCTCCAGAATGCAGGTATGGCTGAACCAAATATTACAGACCATAGTGAATAAAGGTCCAATGAGCCTAAGATTATTGGCAGACTACACTTGCGAGGTAAGTAATGTGTCCATAAGATAATGGCGCAAACAGATGGATATTCTGGTAGTTAGAGAAAGCCACCGGCGTGGTGGACGGAACAAAAAGCCATTGCTCGCAAGTAATTGGAACACTTGCAGGAAGATTATGCTTTGTTGAGATATTCCGACAAAGCTAAGGATTAGAACCCAATTATCTAAACCGCTGGAAACTGGGACAGGTTGCCCGGGAGGTTGGTCCGGTCTGTCTACCTATGCCTTGAGAACTACGAGGATCACCTGCATGGTATTTACCCAAATACGAGTCTCAAGGTACGTTTACTTAACCCTGCTATGTAGGTCCCGCGGAGGGGCAGGGATGAAAAGTTCAGAGAGGAACAACTTCAGGAGGGAAGGAGGAAGTGAGCAGAGCTGGCGACATGGAACTCTATCACGCTCTTTACCTTGTATTGTTTATATTCCAGCCATGGCGCCGTGTATATGTGTGTGTGCGTTCTTACAGTAGAGTTGCGAAAGTTACACCCGTATACAGGAACTAGGTATCAGAATAAATGGAACAGCTCAGCAAAGGTAAGACCTGTTACGCCGGCCCAAGCGCTTTGTACTCCTAATCCGAGCTACTGATCCTCTTACCCGGTATATTGTCCTCGGTTTTGAGCTCCCTGTTGGCACTCGACACGTTGAGTTGGGTGTCGTACACTCATCAACACTTCCGTCTGGCGACAACTGGAAGAAGACTGCTTGTCGGGGTTTCGTGTGTTGTGGTTTATGCTCCGCTTTTTCAGATTACTAACGGCCAGTTTGTTTGTGAGGCTGTGCTCGGCGTTCGTTCTATTTTACCTAGAATATTTTATCCAGTTTTGTCCACCATGTCTTATCCTAGAGCAAATGTACTTTAAGAGGATGTTACGGGTAGGCACTCGGTTAGCGCAGGATCTAAGAAGGCAGACGTAGCCTGAACGCCCGTTCAGTTGGTGCCCTACTCCAAGCGGTACCGAAGGATAAGCAAGGACCTGGTTCTAACTTATGATATTTTACCGAGTAAGGTCGGCCAAGACTTATGAGGGATATTTAGTCCCGCTACATTACCTAAGCTCCGCGTTAACCCATTAAAGTAGTGTAGTGCAGCTGAAAACATGCTCTTTCAGTATCTTATAACATTGGTTTTATGGTTGTTTTAACCTTCGAAACGTCCATTTGTTTAACTGACTGCACATCCATGGTCACAAACCGTTTTGGTGAGTTCCTCGCTGCACGCTTCTCGCTCTGTCTGATTCGCTTCTTATTCTTGGAGCCTGTACAATATACGTTGGGTTCAGTCTCCTCCGACTTCTATACTGTCGTATTTGACACGTATTACGTGTCATTGCTTACCGACTAGTATCCCAGGTTCCGCCCAACAATTGGTGACCCCCTATCAGGAACACGCTGCCCGCCATTTTGCACTTTCATTCTGGTGAGCTCGTTCCAGTGATTTTGTGATTCATTACTTGTGATCATATTGTTTTCTCACCTACCACATTTTTTATCTGCTTTTTGCAATGGATAATCTAGAGGATAAGCCGTCTCCATGCGCGGTTAACGCCGTTCAGCATGCCATGGTCAATTCGGTTGCATTGGCTCCTCCCTCTTTTTGGGAGAATGACCCTTTATTATGGTTTTTACAGTTAGAATCCGTATTTTATATTCGTAAGATTTCTTCTGATTTCGCCATGTATAACCAGCTAATATCTTGCCTTCCTTATAGTATATCCTCGCAGCGGTAAATTTGAATAAGTCGAAAATTTTTGGTTGGCTATTCAGTTTTGCTATATCGCTTCCAATAACTCTATCATACCGTTTGTGATATTTAATTATATCACACCGTCATCTTATAACCGTACATCGGGTTATCTTTTGGACTTTTGTCCAAGTCCTCACTTGTAACGTTGTGGTATAGTGCTACATCTTTCTATATCATGGTACCTAAACGTCTCGAAGCTATGAGGCGTAACAGACAAAGAGTGAAACCGGCTACAGTCCACACTGTTAAAGACAACTCTGCTTTGGCGGATGTGGGCGATGTCGAACACATGGACCAAATTGACACCATCGTGGTGTAGTGACCATGACATTTTACCCCATCAAACATCACATTCAGACTTGTGCACATTTTGTTTTACTTTGCACCCATCCCAAGCCTATATATACTGGACTGCAATTTTGAACCAGGTTCGCCCTCTTGCCCGCGCGCTGCCGGCTGTTGTGCTCCTACGTGGTGTTACTCGTTGCTTCACCACTCTCTCCCATTTTCCTCAAGCTATATTCACATAGCTATTGTACATAGCTATTTTCTCAAGACAATCTTTATATTCCACCGTCTTCTGTCTCACCGGGCTACGGTTTTCTTGTGTAGCATTCGTCAAGCCGCTACATAATTGGTGACCCCAGTCGCATTCCGGTGAGTTCGTTCCATTTTTTTGGTTTTTTCCACGCAAGCCATGACGTCAGTTTCTAAAAAGTGTGAAGATTCACAGTCGGTGCAACCGGTATCTCTTGTAGTTCCACCATTTATTGAAAAAGATCCAGTTTTATGGTTCATGATTTTAGAAGCTGAGTTTACTTCTAAGCATGTCACTAGCGATTCTGCAAAGTTCAATCACTGGCTAACACGCCTGCCGACTGATATTACTTTAGCACTACGTGATCTTATTATTACCTCTTGTCCTC